AAAAAAAAAAAACCCAAAACAAAAAAAGAAGAAGAAAGAGAGAGAAAGGAAGACCTTTAGGAGAAAAGGGAGTCAGAAATCCCATGGGAAATATGAAATCACTAAAATTTATTGACAAAGTTTGTTTTACTTAAAATGATAAATATGTATATGTCTATTACTTTAATGTTTTGATGTTTGAGATAGATTTTGAGAATATTTTTAAAAAATTTAAAAACTGAAAACAAACACCCTGCATAAAAATTCTGACTGCCTTGAATGCAATTCTTAAACTGCTCATAAAAACCTCTTTCCTAAGTATATCATATTTGTTTAGATCAAAGGTATATATTTAAATATATATTAAAAAATATATATCTTGAAGGCATCATGGAATATTGATTATGTAAACTACAAAGATTCAATATCCTTTAAGACCAAAACCTGGCAACTACCTAAAAATTTACATATATATTTACTTTAAAAATTAACTGTATGAAATACAGACCTCCAAAATGTAAACTCACACGTATACCCTGACTAATAATCTAAATCAGCAGTCTCACCCAGGCAAATTTGGTTACTCACAACCACAAAAATATCAGAGCAACAAGGATACAATAAAATAGATCAGTAATATTATGGAAACACTGGTTATTATTCAAAGGCTAGCATCACACAGTGTTTTCTCCTTTCAATTAAATGTAATTTAAATTACTTTTGAGATTAGATACAATGATTTAGAAGGATTTTAGGTTAGAAACAATTTAGATGTCAATGTGTTACTCTGGCTACTACCATAAACAGAGCAATAGATATTTGCAAACACCTCCCTGAATTAATGAATATGATATTAGATTAAAACTTAGTTTAGGCACTGAAATTTTAACACTGCTAATATTCAAATAAGTAGTCTCCTGAGCCCAAATCCACAATGAAGCAATGTACATAAAAAGGTTACTTCCTCAGCTACATTTGTAGTCATTTTAGTAATTTTAAGAGTACTTCCATTTAAATATAAAGCCATGATTTAGCAAACTAAGTCCCAAAGAACCTATTTTCATGCCCAATTAACATTATAAGAAAGAAAACAGAAATACATTATAACATCATCTTTTAGTCTTAATGCAAAATAGAATAAAAAAGGGAGAAACTCTGCAAAAAGAGCCACCTCACCTATGTTATTAAGTTCATTAATAAAATAACATAAAACTTTGCTCACATTTATTGGGGGGAAAAACCCTGTAAGTATCATCAAAGGTGAAATAATTGTGACATCATCAACAGACAGTCCCCCAAACCCAGTGAAATAATAAGCTCACTATATGCGAAAGACCTCTACTGCTAATGAGTGTTCACCAGCACAAGCACATTTATGTTTTCAGCCCTAGGATATTTTCAAACCATCTGGCATCAATGCCACTCTGGTTCATCCAGCCTAATCTGTCCATAACTGAATACAGAACTAGAGCTACATGATGCACTTCGGGGACACCAAAGAATAGCTCACATGTATAATAATACTCCAAATGCACAGCTCTCAACCAGTTTATACTTGAAATGTGTTTGAGAAGCATTTCCATGAAACATGCTAAGGCTCTTTTAAAAATACTAGAATGGTTCAAAAAACCTGTATGAATCATGGCTGTCATCAGTTACCCAAAAAAAAAAGTCTTACTTTTTCTCTCTCTCTCATTTTAGTCCTGATCATGAAATAGAGCATTTGAAGAGGTACTTCTACAAAGATTCACTGATAAGTGAAACACTATCAATTCTATATTGAAAGAACAGAAGATTTAACATTTTATTGTGCATTTTGCAGAAGATTAGTCAGCTTTGCCCTAAAATGCTTAGAGCAAGGAGGGACAGATTAAGGGGGGAAAACATTCATGAGGGCCCTCTTATACCCTGTAACGCATTACTGACTTTGGCAGCACCCACATTTCTTTTGCTTGAAATCAAGAGTCAGACTTGCTACTTGAGAATCTTTTTTTAAATCTATGGATACACTGAGGTCAACATCCCTGTTACAACCAACGTCCGTTCATCCTCACTGTTGGCATAAAAACCAATGACTTTTGGGGGGATAATTTTTCAGAAACAAAGATAATTCATGTAACACCACATAACACCAGTTGAAGCTCTCAGACAAAGACTGAGGAACAACGACCAACACCAACAAATCTAAAGGTGCACTTATGTAGGTGGGTACACATACACTCCAAAGCCACAAACAGGCACTATTCCTGGAGGGAAGGCTGCTTCTTCCTAACTGTGAACCCTTTATTTTCCAATCCTGTGACTTCCCTCCCTTTTCTGTGATCCTCTTAACCCCCCAAAAGAACTGCTTTTTCCTTTCAAGTTACATGGAATCCCAATCTAACTACATTACAAACAATCAGCCTTTCTTTACATTCCCCCTCTCCCCCCAAAAGATTAGCTCCTTCTCACGTTTTTCTTCAGCTCTGGGGTGTGATAGAAAAGCGCTGGAGAATTCCCACTCTGCCCCATCTCTACCCAGTATCTACCCCCCTCTATCCACCCCTTTCCCCGCTTCCCACCTCCCCTACCCTGAGTCTTTCATTGAAGCCTTGCCAGAGCTTGTTCCGTCGCTAACCTAAACTACGGGTATCAAACGGAACCTTCTCCTTTTCTGGGGTTTTGCTCTTGTCTTCCTGTTACCTACGGAGGGGAGAGGTGGAGGGAGATGCACGAAACAAAGAATTTCAAGACTCTGTACCTAGAAGTTTGGCGTAAATCCGCGGGGAAAGGGCACCCGCCAGGGGTCTTCTTCCCGGCCATTAGAACCCGCTCCCGTCCCCTCTCCCCTCATCCCTCCTTCCCGGCACTTCATTCCCCGCCAAGATTAGGAGACTGTTCCGTTAGGCCCCAAGGCTCCGGGGAGTCCCTGGTCGGCCTCTCAGTCCGCCTTCTGAAAGGGACGGATAACACTTCCATTCTCTTTCATTAACTTCTCCCAGTTTCCCTCAAAACGGAATACAGTTCTTAAGGACTCAATTCTGAGTCTTGCCCCGAAGTGGGGGAACAGCCTGACCCCGAAATGGATGCCCAGTCTTCTCTGAAGTGGGGTGCAACCTCCAGGGAAAGGTTTCCCGGGGCTCCAGCCCCAATGCCAATGCGCTCAGCTCCAGCGAGAGGATTTTTCCTTACTCTCCGAGAGACAGTCCCCACGAGGCCACGGCCCCCGCAGGGCAGGCCTTCCGAGCTCCCCTGGGACCCTTAACATCGCTGGGGTCCTTCGTCCACGCGGCGCCCTTTCCCCCCACTCCCCCGCCCCCCCGAGCCCCGTCTTCACTCCCGTCAACAGTCTCAAGTTGCTCGGTGCTCTCTTAAGGACCGGAGCTGATAGACCCCCACAGAGCCCACCCGCAGCTCCTTCCACGGCCGCAGACATCCCGAAAGCGCGAGGGACCCTCGGGGGTCTGTCCCTCGGCGGCGATTCCGCGGCGCGAGCAGGCCGGGTCCCTCCCCCTCGGACGCCCCGCGCCAGGTCTGCCCCGCCGCCTGCCGCCGCCGGCGCGCTCAGCCCCCGGGGTCTCAGCCCCGGGGCCGCCCTCCTCCGGCCGGCCCGCGCGCCGCTCGCCTTCCCCGGCCGCCGCGCCGCTCGCGAGTCTGCGCCGCCGGTTCCCACCCGCAGTCCTCGGGCGTCCCGGCCCACTCGTGGCGGAGCCGGCTCGTGCCGCTACCTGCAGGGGCCGCCGCGCCTCTCAGCGCCCCGCCGCCGCCATCTTGCATTTCAAACCGGCTGCACTTTTCAGGGAGTCAACTCTGACCTGTGAACCCTACACCCGGAACCGTTCAGGGCCGGCACACGGCCTAGGCAGCTCGGCGGGCCCTGCAGAGCGTGGAGGGTCGGGGGTGGGGGTGCGAGGCGAGGCGCGCGCCCCAGCGGCCGACCGGGGGCGGGGAGGGAGGAAGGAGCCGGCCGAGGCGGGGCCCTCCCGCGCGCGCGCCGTCCGCGCGCCCCCACCCCGCTCCGCGCCAGGCTCTCCACTCACGGACCCCGCTGCTCCCCTGGGGTTCGACCCGGGCCTCTATCCTCAGGATTGGCGCACGGGGAGGTAGGGAGCCGCCCCGCCCCTCTGTCAACAGAATCCCCGCCCCGGCCCGCTCGAAAGCCCCGCCCCCTGTCAGCAGAAGCCCCGCCTCCTCCAGGTCTCGAAGCGGCCCCGCCCCTTGCCCGGAGATAGCTCCACCCACCACCCGAGGTCCGGTCTTTACTCAGGTCAGTCCCCGCCTTCTGTCACTTGTGACCCTGCCCTCTGGCGTTCCGCCTTGCTAATGTTACCGCCGGATCCTAAGAAACGCCCCGTATCATCTTAAGCCCCATCTCCTGGTGGCAGTCCATCCAAGTCCCGCCCCCTTCGCCGGAATCCCCGCCCACTGTCAAAAGAAGCCCCGCCTTGTTGAGACCAGTCTGGACTCCAGCCCGAAACCCCACTTCTGTCAACCGCCGCCCCGCCTCTTCTCGCCTGCGGGTCCTACCCCAGCATAAACCGCTACTCTACGCGCTGACACCGAAAGTTCAGTTCAGAATCACTTTGAACTGCAGTTGAAGACGAAGCCACCCTTTGCTTCCCGAAAGTCTTCCTTCCTCCCTCCCCACCACCGCTCACGAGCCTCTCTGCTGAAGGGCTGTCTTTCCAATCTGTGGTCTTCACCGGACAGCTTCAGTGGCAGCTAGTCCCGAAGAGGGTGCCAGCCAAGGACCCAGGCTTTGGGGAAAGCCGGACGGCGTCACCGCCCCTCCTCACCTCCCCTTCCCTCTCCACCCCCACATCCCTTTTAAATTTATGAAACGTGCAAACCATAGCGAAGAGAAACGTCTCACCCTCCAAGCTATTGTGCACAGATTCATGGGCCTAGACGCTCGACTCTGTGCTTTGACGGTAGTACTCCACTGAGCCGCATTAATCCTAGAATGTGCAGTTGCTTAAAGTGCAAGTCTGATTGTTGAAATCGATGTACAGTTTCTTTTTATTTATATGTTTTGTCTTAGAATCATAGAACTCGGAGAAGCAGAAGCAAGTAAAGCTTAATGATCATATAAACAGAGGTACTCAACCCGATCATACTCAACATCCTGTATTTACAACAAAAAGGTGCCACCACTTTACTCTCCTGGAATTACATTTGCAGGTAATGTAAACTACACAAATAAGTTCAATAAACCAGTGTAATGTTATAAAGGTGGAAAAATAGAAAGTAGTTTATTCTCAAATACTATACTAATATCAATAAAAATAATATGTGTTTCACTGTGGAAATACTCTGGCCCCAGTGAGAACTACCGAACAAAAAACTGCCCCCGCAAAATTTCAAGATGCCCCCTAGGGGGCAGTCCTGTGCCCACTGAGAAACTGCTTAGGACTTCTTTCTGAGGAAAGGAAATCCTTGAGATACAGAAATGTATTCTTTTGTTCATACTTTTTAACAGCTAGGTTTTTGAGTACCAGCATATGTCAGGCACTGTGGGAGATGCAAACTGAGTCCGACAATGTTTTTGTTTTCAAGGAGACTGCAGTCCAGTAACCAAGCCAGAAACCTGAGCATGAAACACATTAACCAAGGTGAGAGGTGAGAAGGGATTGAGGTGGGATTCAAAAAGAGATCCTGTTAAGGTGTAGGGACTGATGAATAGAACTCTCACCTTCACTATCTATTTCTCTCCTCTTTTCCTCTTCTCCCTCTCCCTTCTTCTCTCCCTCCTTCCCTTCCGTTTTTTCCTTCCTTCCTTTTCTCCTCCTCCTCATCTTCTTTAGCTTCAGTTTGTAGAGTCACCTCCTTCTTGCTGTCTGCCTGGTTCACTGCCCAGTGCCAGCAGCCCAGAGTCTTCTCAGTTTAGGGCCATGCCCACAGGCATGTTCTGTCCAGGAAAACAACTTCAGTAGCACAGTGCTTAGAACACTGTCCTTGGCTGAATTGCTGCCAATTATTTGGTATCCTTGCACAAAGCAAGACTGTTATCACCCTCAAAAAAAAAAAAAAACTGGTTGCAGACCTAGGCAGTATGAATATATGTTTCGCATAGCAGATTGTGCGAGCCCACATAAATCTGTTTAGAGATCATGCTCACAGAGTAACTTGTTTTTATTAAAATAAACTCATTTGTAAAAATTGTAAATATGACTGATTTCAACAGCTGTGTGGCTCCAGAAGTAAGTTTTTAGCCATGGATTGGCACAATTAGAAGAGTCTCGATTTTTTTTATGCATATGTTTTGCAGTTTGTCACACACAGTCTGCTATGGCAAAACTTCAGTACTGCTAGAGATGAAAAGTTGTCCAGCAGGTTTTAAAAAGCACAGCACTTTTGCTATTCAGAGTCGCTTCCATATTTGGAACAGTGAAAAAAATATTTGTAGGAAATGAAGAGTTTGAATCAAAAGTTCTCAGCACTGGTGTCATCTGAAGAGGAATAGGCTTCCAACAGCACTTTTGGTAGTGGTTTCCTTCTGTTATTCTCTTTTTCCTTTTTCTACTTTTGCTGAAAAAGTCTTCTAAAAAACATGATATCATGAAACAGAAAACAGATCTGCCGAAAAGACATCAAACGAAGATGCTTTAAACTTTTAATTACAGGTAGGTGAACTCAAGAATTTAGCCCTAGTGAAATGCTCCCACGATTCTCTCCAAGGGTTAGTTCAGAAGGTAAACAAAACCATTCTTCCTAAAGCTATTTCAGACTTAAAAAAACTTCCCTTTTTTTTCAATGTTTATTTATTTTTGAGAGAGACAGAGCATGAGTCGGGGAGGGGCAGAGAGAGGGAGACACAGAATCTGAAGCAGGCTCTGAGCTGTCAGCACAGAGCCCGAAGAGGGGTTCAGCCCCATGAACTGGGAAGTCATGACCTGAGCCGAAGTCAGATGCTTAACCAACTGAGCGACCCAGGCACCCAAGACTTAACAAACTTTTAAAGTTAATTTAGGGTCATTTCCTATTCCTCTCAATGCTTGCTTTGTGAAAACGGGAATGTTGTTGATAATTACAACAGTGAAAACAAGGTGGTATTCTTAGTAATGCCGTTCCACTCCTCCCTGGTTTCTGTATCTAGCATAAGACTCTGCATGTAGGGCTATGGGACCACAGATACAAAGCAAGAAAAGCAGGAAAAATGGATTTTCCAGTATTTATTCAAGGAGTAACATGCCCATACACTTTAGTGGCTCTGTCAACACTACCCTGAAAAAAAAAATGGTGCCAGTGTTATCTTTTTAGACCTAAAGTCTTAGGACACAAGTAACTCTAGAGGAACACCCAACTGACCGCCAGAGTGAGAAGATCCAGCGCTTCACTGTTTTTCAAAATCTTAGTGGAGGAGTCTAGGGCAGTGGTTCCTAAACCGCTTTAATATGAGTGAAGATTCCCAGGAACATTACAATGTAGCTTCTCAGGGGCTCCTGGGTGGCTCAGTTGGTTGAGTGACCGAATCTTGATTTCAGCTCTAGTCATGATCCCAGGGCCATGGTATTGAGCCCCACGTCAGGCTCCATGCTGAGTGTGGAGCCTGCTTAATATTCTCTCTCCCTCTGCCCTTCTCCCCCACTCACCCATTTTCTCTATAAATGAGTAAACACATATGAAATGTAGCTCCTCAGACTGTGCTCCTGGGAGAATCTAATTCAGAAGGTCTGGGGTGAGGTCGTGAATCTACTTTTGGCAGGCAGCTGACGACCCTCACCGAGGTGACCTGTGGACTTCACTTTGAGATCTAGCAAAATGCTTGTAATTGAGGAAAAACTTATTGCATTCATGTAGAACTAAGGGTTGTAAACTACCAAGTCATTATCTCTAAGAATAGATATTCATTCCTGAAACTGTCAGCTGGTTGGACATCAACACTGGAAGGGAATTCAACTTCAGTCTTCAAGGACTTCTAAATCCATTGCAAATGTCCATCTTCCAGGCAAACTCATGTGGCTCAGTATCTGGGCACTTTAGATAGACTATTTTACCTTCCTGGTGCCTCTGTGAAGTAGTTGGTATTGCTTGAAGTTAACGTAATGAGGATGCCAAGGTTTGGAGAAGTTAAGCTGCCAGTCACTTGCCCAGTTACCTACAAGGTAAGGGGTTTTGAACCCACTTTGACCCGTCTTAAAATCTAATGAAGATGCTACATAAACCCTTTCTCAGAAAGGAGGTATTGCATTAGCCAGGCTACAATGTGCATGAAATTTGAGAGCCTTCCCTCGTGTTAAAGTCAGACAGTCTTCTTTCTGTTCAAGTCCCAAAGCCTCTGTACCAGCAACTGTTGCTTCATAATGGACGACACAAACTTAATGGCTTGAAAGCCCAAGCAGTTTCTTAGCTCATAAGTCTGTGGGTCAGTTGGGTGGTTCTGCCGATCTGGGCCAGGTTTGGCTGATCTTGGCTGGCCTCATTCATGCATCGTGGTCAAGCAGGTGGATCGTCTGGAGGCTGCCTGGTCCAGGATAGATTTGTTCATGTAGCTGGAAGCTGGCTGATGGTCAGTGGATCATCTAGATGCTGGCCATCTAAGATGGCCTCAGTCAGTACCTCCAGTGGGTATCTAACTATTGATCATAGAGGTGACATGTGCCTCTTTTTCCAGTAGAAAATAGTCTGAACTCCTTCACATGCAAAGAGTTATAAGAAATTGAGAAGCAGTATTTAAGACTTCTTAAGGCTAGCCTCAGAACTGACACACTGTCATTTCTGCCATATTCTACTAGTCAAAGCCTCACAACAAGGCCAGCCCAGATTCCACCTCTTGATGGGAACAACTACAAAGGCTGAAGATACAGGAAGGGCAAACAATTGTGTCCATTTTTGTAATCGACTTACCACAGTAACTATATGACTCAAGGAAGGTTTCTCAACTTCTATTTCTACTCATCTGCAAAACAATGATATTACAATTGTTGTGCCCTATCTCAAAGGGTTGATAGCTCATGCAAGAGTCCTGGCTTCCAGTAATTTTTTTCAGAAAATATTGGCCATGAGAATGCTGATGCTGTCCTCTGGGGTCTTTCTAGCCTGGGAAGTCTTATGAGTCTGCATGGCAGAGAGTAGGCTGATTTTTTATGATCTCTCAGAGCAGGACTTCGGCCCTGATTTTCTGTTGATTTCATGCTGCTTGCTCCACTTAGTACTCTTCTGGTTGTTATACAGAAACCTACTCAAACTAGCTCAATTAAAGAAGCCAAAGCTACTGTTTGTTCCCTGCATGTTCACTCCATCCTTTCCTCCCTTGACTCTCCTTTTAAGACTCCTCTAGAACATGCCCCAGCCAAGTAGCTTTAGCCCTGGAATCCAGGGCTTTGGCTTTATTCATTTGAGCTAAATGGCCTGGTTCTCAGTGTCCCGATTCCAAAATCTAAAGAGAGAAACTGCTTGGTCCAGCACATCTCTTCTTAAAAGGGCTGTTTAGTCTACTCTGCCATGGCAGGAGGGGTGGGCAGTCTTGGGGGGAAGGGGCAGCTTTATGTGGGCAGCAGAGGCTGTGAGCAAGAGCAGTTCCTTCAGATGGCGGCTGTGAGCCAGCAGACACAATGATTCACATTTCCTGGACACAGGCGGCCTTCTCTAATATTTTAAATTACCTTCCCATCAAACAGTTTAAGTACACAATTTCAAGGACTTTATAAAAATCCGTCTCCTCTCTGAATGTCTCTTAATAAAGTGGAGGTAGGTGCTCTTTCTCCCACCCACTCGCCAAAAACCTACCACATTCTTTCGCTGTAAGCAGAGGGGTATTCGTTTTTTAGGGCTGCCGTAACAGAGTACCACAGACTAGGTAGCTTAAACAACAGGAATTTATTTTTCTCACAGTTGCAGAGGCTATAAATCTGGAGGCCAACGTGTCAGCAGGATTAGTTTCTTCTCAGGGTTTTAAGAGAGAGGTATGTTCAATGTTGTTGTTTTTTTAATGTTTATTTTTGAAAGTGTGAGCAGGGGAGGAGCAGAGAGAGGGGGGACACATGGATGTGGGGCTCGAACTCACGAACAATGAGGTCATGACCTGAGCCAAAATTGGATGCTTAACCAAATGAGCCACCCAGGCGCCCCAGGTCTGTTCTATGTTTCTCTCTTTGACTTATAGATGGTGGTCTTCTCCCAAGGTGTTCATACCATCTTCCCTTTGTACATGTCTGTGTTCAAATTCCTCTTTAAAATTTTTTAATGTTAATTTATTTTGAGATAGAGACAGGGGAGAGGCAGAGAGAGAGAGCTGCCAGCACAGAGTGAGATGTGGGGCTTGATCCTGTTACCTGGGAGATCACGACCCGAGCTGAAATCAAGAGTCAGATGTTTAATCGACTGAGCCACCCATGCGCCCTCCAATTCCTCCCTTGTAAGGATGCCAATCAAAGAGGATTAGGTGGTTCCCACCTTCATTTTACCTAATTACTTCTGCAAAGATCTATCTCCAAATACAGTCACGTTCTGACTAGTTTAGAACTTCACCATATAAACTGAGGGAGACACAATAATTCAGCCCATGACAGGATGAAAACAGTCATTACTAAAAACAATGTAAATGGTATCTGAGCCTGTTCCATTGCAACATCCTTGGGCTTATCTACGGTTCTGCTTATCAGAATGCCCT